TTTGCCTGTGAAGGAGTGTGGGCCGGCTCCGTTGATGAAACGTGGTTCCTATCCGCATGCCTCGCGGTCTTATTCCTTCGGGTTTACACTGGATATGGAGTGTGTGGATGGAGCTGTGGGTGGTGCAGCGCAAGCCATCCATGGTCCCTCTGTAGGCGCAGGCGTCCTGTGGCTTGCCACAGTGACAGGCAAATCCGAAACCGGATGCCGCCAACCATATATATATATATATATATATATATATATATATATATATATATATATTCAGTAGGCGGCATCCGGGTTCGGGTTTGCCTATCATTGTGGCCAACCACAGGAGTCCTGAGCCTACAGAGGGATCACGGGTAGCTTGCGCTGCACCACCCACAGCTCCATCCACAGACCCCATATCCAGTGTAAATACGATGGAATAAGACCGCGAGGTATGTGGATGGGACCCACGTTTCATCAACAGGGTCGGCTCACACTCCTTCACAGGCGAACACAAGCACACTGTAGTTGGGAATTAATGACACAAACGGTGGTGGCTGGACTGTAGTCCGCTCCACACTGAGTGCATGGAACCACACTTCGAGCCTAGCACGGCCACAAGGACCGTGCACCCTGTCCCCTCCAGCAACGACCAACTGTCTCCTGTAGCCAGAATGGACGAGGTAGTGGGTAATAGACAGGTAGGCACCTTGTCAACATGCACATCAAGCGCAGTCACACTGGGGATATCAAGCAACAGCCAATCACTTGAAGCGACAATATCAAATAAAATAAGTCGAATAATGCATTCAAATATGGTGGCATAACTCTTTAATAAATGAGCATATGAAATAGATTGGTTGCCAAAATATCCGCTGCATGTTCGAGACGTCAGCAAATATATTTTAAGAAAGTATTACAAACGCGAAAAGTTTGTCGAGGTTAACTATAATTAGCTCAAGCGACGTGTGCAAGTTAATAGAAGACATTATGAGACTATGGGAAGACATTATGGGATAAACAAACGTCAGGACAATGTAGCAAACCCACAACCTGAAATAAAGAGACAGCATGCAAGCACGCGATTAGTAAATAGAACGCAGCGTACCTACAAATGCTGCGCCGGTTCTGTCTACGTTCTCAGCAGGATACGTCGTCGTGGTGGACCCGAATGGCCTCACTCATGACTCACTAGGCCAGCCTAACTCAGGCACTCGCGACCGCATGTGCTACAGCATCATGCAATCGCTGTGGATAGAGTACAACCCATCGGCGCCTGACGTTTCCGCACTTGCCACTTTTTCTGTGCATGCACGAGGGATTTCTCTTTCAAATGCCTTCCTGCTCAGGTCGCGCCATGCACGCCGATCAACCGCTTTCGATTCTCATGACCTGCAATCAAGCTTAGAACGTGAGAGGCCGACTTTGATCATGTTCTCATAAGGAAGCTTCGGTTTTCCCACATGCCGATTCCCCAAACTTAACTGACTATAAAGTAGCTGCTTCGGTATCCGCGTCAAATCCATACGCTACACACATGACCGAGCCACCTTAGATGTCTCAGCAAAAGTATGCAATGCACTGAGTACATTCCACTTCGGCTCAACACCTCCGTGTCCGCAACTCTGTCACAGAAATCATTACGTAGACAATGTTGATGGAACCGATTGAAATAACGCACAACCCGCAGATACATCGTCCACGTTTCGCTGCCGTACAGAAGAATGGACAGTACCAGGTATTTGTACTGTTGATAAAGTTCCAATTGCATGGGGGGAATAGGTCACTGCCGAAATTCACAAGAAAAGATGATGCGAAGATTGTGCCAATTACCGCGGAATTTTGTTGCTTTCCGTTGCCTCTAAGATTTCGTGTCTGTTCTACTCCATAGCTTTTCAACGAAAAGAGAGGGCGTTTCCCGAGAGGAACAAGCCGGTTTTCGTCCAGGCAGAAGTTGCATCCACCAAATCTACAAACTTCGCTAAATTCTTGAACCCGGTCACGCGCACCGACTGTGAACAATCATAGCGTGCTTAGACATACGAGCGGTGTTTGACTCAGTAGATAGAACTGCGTTGTGGAATTGCTTAATAAGGAAAGGAGTGCCAGACAATTTTGCAACCATTCTGAAGGATCTCTACAATCACACCTCGGACACGCTTTCTCCTTCGTTTGCTGTCATCAGCGCAGTGCGGCAAAGTTGCTCCATCTCACCCTTCCTCTTCAATTTACCATTGATGATGTCGTTCAACGAGCATTGAAAAGTGTCAAAAACGGTGGTACCCAGCTTCTCCCAGGTGACAGTTGCAGAGTTGGACTACGCCGATGATATTGCTTTGCTTGGGGACGATCTACAAGCCGTCCAGAGCGCTTCGAACCACATAGCGCTAGAGGCGTCAAAGCATGGCTTGAAGTTGATCCCAGGCAAGTGTAAAATACTACTCCAGGATTGGCAGATACATGTAACTGTTCTCACCATTGCTGGTGATGTACTGGAACAAGTCCCATGCTCCACTTATCTATGGAGCTGTAACACAGCTGGCGGATGTAGTGCAGACGAGATGTCACAACGGATCGCGGAGACCCGCCTTGATTCACCAGACTGAGACACTTATGGTGCCAACTTGACGTCATTGTCAAGCTGAAGGACATGGTGTAAATTGCCTCTGTCCGTAAGGTCCCATTGTACGGCTATGGAACCTAGCTTATTCGCTCCGAAGAAATGAAACTCTTGTCAGTTTTTGACAATCTTTGTCTGCACAGAATGGCTGGCGTGTGGTGGTAACATCACGTAAGCAACACAGAAATACGAGAGCGGGTGCTAGGAGCAAACAGCATGTGCCTCAAAAACTCCATCCTCTTACACCGCATGTGTCGCCTGGGCAACATATTACGCATAACAGCCTATCGTCTTCCTCCTTGAGTAGTATTTGCGCTCCTCGAAAGCGAGTAGAAAAAGTGCTGCGGTGCGCAAAGAATGACGCGGAGAAAGAGCATGAAGAGGGCAACCTCACGCTTAGCATCCGTTGGACCGGTCCGCCCTTCAGGAGGGGAACACGCAACTCGCGCTGCCAGTGGTTGTAAACGTTGAAGGTTCTGGCGTGCAACAGACAGTGATGGCAGGGTTATTCAACCGCAGCATTTGTTAATGTCTAATCGGTTATATATATATATATATATATATATATATATATATATATATATATATATATAGTCGTGGGTGTCCCATGCTTAAGCTGATGCTGCATTCTTGATGCTTCTTCACCGCAGTTGGGCTAAACCAACTTCCACTTAAACTAGGTTATATTAAGTTGGAGAAATTTCATTCCACTTTATTTGCTTTGTTCTGCATACCTGAATAAGCTTCTAATAAGTGGCAACGTTGCTTACACTAATTGCGCTTATCTTCGGTCACTTTGCTGCGTTTGCAGCATTTTTATGTAACTAGCTAACCAAGTGACTTCATATGCCAGTTTAGAGAAGAATTATGCTGCCGTGCCTGTATGCATTATTGGATTTATCTTATTTCATCTTGTCATTTCAAGTTATTGGTTACTGCTTGATATCCCTGGTGTGGCTGTGCTTGATGTGCATGTTGACAAGGTGTTTACCTACTACCTCGTCCATTCTGGCTACAGGAGACAGTTGGTCGTTGCTGGAGGGGACAGAGTGCACGGTCCTTGTGGTCGTGCAAGGCTTGAAGACTGGTTTCATGCACTCAGTGTGGAGCGGACTACGGTCCAGCCACCGCCTTGTGTGCGCTTGATTCCCCAAATACAGCGTGCTTGTGTTTGCCTGTGAAGGAGTATGGACCGGCTTCGTTGATGAAACGTGGGTCCCATCCACATGCCTCGCGGTCTTATTCCTTTGGGTTTACACCGGATATGGTGTGTGTGGTTGGAGTTGTGGGTGGTGCAGCGCAAGCGGCCCATGGTCCCTCTGTAGGCGCAGGTGTTCTGTGGCTGGCTATAGTGACAGGCAAATCAGAAACCGGATGCCACCAACCATATAGTTGTGGACAAAACACTACTCCTCACACTCCCAACATTGCGAGACAAACTCCTGAAGAACGCTTACACAACCATCTAGTTTTCCAAGCTAAATAAACTAAAGATAACATTACATTTGAAAGGGCGATTTACTGGAAGTGACACAGATCCTATTCTCTAAAAGAGCACTAAAAGGAGCTTCAATATGCTATACGCCGTCAGGTTGGGTTGCTGACATGTTTGCTATTTGACTTCGGTGGCTGAGATAAGACGGATGGTCAGTAAAGTGACAATCGTTCAGCGAATGCAGTATTTGATTGCCTAAAGGTTGGGAAGCGCTTGCGAGTAACGTGCTTTGATACAAGACAGTGGTGTTCAGAAATTCCCAGGACGGCGTGTCCTAATACACGATATGTGACCTTGGAAAAACCTATCGGGTGTCCCACAAACGACGCTTGAATACACAACTTCTTCAACGGTTCTATCCACTTGATTTCACTTCCGTGATGGACGGCAAAGTCCAAGGTAGCAAAATCTAGCTCCAAAATTCTGTCGCCATGAGGCTAGCTGACACTGCCCGTTGTCACATCATCTTGTTGAACAATTGTAAGTGTAAAAACCCAGGTACTTCCAGGGTGATGTTCCTTAGAAAGCTGGAACTAGCAGTTCGATTGTCGATGCGCTTTTGGAACGACGTGTTGGCCTATCTTACAAGTTGATGCAAACGCGTTTAATATCGAGCTTTTTAAGCGATTTGCACCATTATGCCTGTCCGTGGTCGAAAAGACAAGGCGTCTGGCCTTGCAACCAGGAGGCCAAGGGTAAGAGTTTGTGTAGGAGACCGGACGACCCTTGCATTATCCTTAGACATCGCGCGACTAGTGGTGCTTGCGTGGCAGCGAAGCGTCAATAAGGCGTAGCGGCGTACAGCTGATTTATTTTTATCGGGACATCACGTGATCTTACACCGTTGAATCCTTCCGCAAAACTCATACTAGTTGACATTGAAAAAATGGGGTGTGAAAATTAATTCAAGCCAGATTAGATTCAAAAATCACCCGTATTGGTTGTATTGCCCATCGTTTGCATGTACAACAGGGCTACATTCGTTGCTATCCCGAATGCTGGTCGGTGGTGTTTCGAGGGAGAACAATGGCAGCAGGTCAGCCATAAGGTAGGTACTTTCGAGAAAATCTACTTATGGTCTGTGATAGACCATACATATTGTCGTGAGTAATCAAACACAAATAACAGCTGAATGACAGTTCTCCTACTGGGAAGAACAGACGATCGACTGACTGTACAGCATCCCGGATGGTGAATTTCAGTTCTTCCCTGCGTCGTTGTGGACGAAGGCAAACTGTAATAGAAAAAAAACAAATTATGCAGACCGAGTGGCGAGGCCAGAGGGTATCCAATGAACTCGTAACGTCGTAAGCCACAGGATAATCGAGGGGCGTAATGAGAGCAATGGGCGACCAATCTCTTCAAGGTTCCAAATCAGCCGTGCAGATACATCCATCCTGTAAAAAAGGCGACGACATTAATCGTATTGAGATAATGCAACCCGTTATGCAAATATATTTCCAATATCCATGAGCCTTAAAGCTGAGTAGATAAGACTACAAGAATAGTTCGTTTAAAGTCAGGATCTCAGTAAGCCACTTCATGGGTTGATTGCCGAGGAAAAGTGCAGAGGGGTGTAGAAGACCACCATTGAGGACATAGGTGCATACGTCGGTTACTTACATCACCAGCGAATGGAATCAAGTTAAGAGGCACATTCAAGAAACAGGCAAGGAAATAGTTTACCTCGGATTCGTATAAAATGCTCAATATGTTATCCATCATAATCTGTCGCGACTTGTCCCCGGCTTCCTTTAGCTGATAGCAGAAGTCTTCTATCTTGGTCAGTTTGTTATAATAAAACTCGGCCTCTTTCTGGCAGAAAAACAGGGCTCGTCTTTGTTCAAATATCTGCACGATAGATAAATACGGTTGAAACACAAAAGTGGTTAGTCATGCGATCGTTTGTATTCAGGAAGCCAGTTAGATGTTTACGGTTCTTGACGCGATTATGGTCAGCAGCTAAAACTGATAACTACTTTGTCAGTTCAAGGCGCAATAGCGTTATCGACTCTACTGCTAAACGAACGTCGATGCCTCAGTCGCATCAGCGATATCGTGGGTGGCAATCCTTCAGCATGACGTTGCGTATGGTGGTACCTCCCATTACAAAAATACCCGAAACCACATAAGCCGGTAACTGTTCCACTAACTGTGTGGCTGAAACCCATTAGCACTATGCATACAAGCAACATCCCTTACCTGATAACAGAAATCTGGCAGAGCGTCTCACGAAACATTGGAATGGACAAAACAGGACTGTACATTATAGCAAAAAGAATACCGCGAAAGTTAGATTAGTTGCATTGTTTACTGTCGACCTTTACCTAGCTAAGCAACCCAAACATCTAAATGACATGGTGGTAAACCCAAGAAGAAAAGTGTGAACACAATCTGAGCACGGGTGTATATCGATGCGCCCGCAGTGACATGAAACTTAAATGCCTTGATTAACATAGTAAGTGCTCTGGAGAACAGAGATGAAATCCATCCTTCTCTTTATTTTAGGATTGTGGTGTACTCGCCGGTTACTAAGTTACTTTTGCCTAAGGGATATTGGAGTTATATCTGCACAAGTAACGAGCAGTCACGTTACACCGCACTTCCTGGAAAGAATTTCTGGGACAGTCAACGCAGTGGTTAACCATCTAAGGGGCAAAGAACGTGTCCTCCATCTACTACACCACTTGAGCATAGATTTCTGGCATAGGTGAAGTGTTTGTTAAAGACAACTAACTTCCTATTGGGTTGGCTAACCTTTTTCCTTACTCAAGCTAGTTGGACGAACTATGTTCGAAGTAAGGGCTGTACAGAGTTGGAAGAGTGGGATAGTGCAAGCAGTACGAAAATATATGGATGTATCCTTCAACGACTGCAAGATGCACAAGACTGCAATGAAGAACGCGTTCTAACCGGTGCCGGGACCACAGTTTAAAGTGCAATGTATTAATATCGGACCGCGCCGGTCCAAACAGTGAGTTGTCTTGGGTAAGCAGCGGGTCACTAACTTGATTTGCAACATCGTCTATGTATGTAGAATCGGATTGTGCTAATTGTAAGAAATGATGGAACAAGAGTCCGCTTGCAGTTATGTTCCCTTCTAGTGCATTAGTCTGTAGGTCCTTCAGCGAGTTTTGGATTGGTTCTCGATTTCGATGAGCCAGTTAACTACGTGGTTCTTATATAGCCTGAATCAATATTAGTTAAAGGATTGAAGCTCTCAAAACCATGGAACGCGAAATAGGTGTGGTCTCTTTATGATTTCAGATATGTTGACTGGGTTTGTTTAATTGAAGCAACTGTAACTTGGTAAACAGTGATAACCGGACAATATTGGTAGCTAATTTCACCAGAATATGCACACCGGCTATAGTTGGTCATAAAGCTGAGATGCACATAATGCGTGCCTGCTGGAAACAATGAAGTTCTGGAAAAAACACCAAGACTCGGAAATCAACTTCGGAAACAAGTATTAAGCCCTTGGTGTGGCTTATCTTGGTCACTTAGCCAAGGGCATAATGATGTTAAAGAATTATGCTCAGATTAATACTACATTTTGTTTTAAAAGTGTTGGGGTGAAAGTATGTGAAACTTTGCAAACAATAACGTTCACGGATTTTTCAAAAGGAAAATTATTCGGCGATGAATCACTTTGTGAAGTTTTGGCAGGACGACGACAGAGGAGCCAATACGGGCTATATATTATGTATTCCGGAATTCCCTGAAAATGGACCCGGCTAAATTGTGCTAAAGGTATGAATTTCTAGCACAGAAACCCAGGCCTTTTACCGCATGAAATTGCTAGTTGTCCGTATTTTGTTTAAGGTGATATCGCGGATCTTATCCTTGAATCGTCTAGCATTCAGATGCGTTGCATAACTTGCCATCTTTCAAGCTTTGCGCCACAAATCCTCAGACGTCAGTTAACGAATTGATCATAAGCAAAATTAGATTTCGTGTACAGTTGTTTCGATTGATACGGACAGATTTGTATTTAAGTAACCAGAACAATTTCTATTTGGCAACTACCAAAGGAAGCTGATGAATGCCATCGCTTCGCGACTCACTCGGTTTAGTAACATAGTAATGGTAACTAAATTCGATACATACCCCGAATCGCAACACTGACAATTGACGCCGAAGTTCACTTTCTTTTATCACATTTTCTGGTTTCACATCTTCAATGTGGATGTCATGGGGGTAGACAGAGGATTGTGAAAAGTGGGCTCCTGGGTGGGCTTGTGTTCCTGTGTCCACCGAGTTCGATGTCGGTGTGACGGTCAAATTGGCCATAGACGGTGTTGCATTGTTAAGCATGATAGTGGAAGGGTTTGACGATACTCCGCGACTGACACGTGTTGAGTGACGATTTAATTCATCATAAGCATGTGACTGTATTCTCTGGCTTTTTTGACAAAGCGAGTGTTGTGTTCGGTGATCTTCGTTGTTTGTCCCGCGGTGGTGGTAACCTTTCTCGGCACTGGATCCACCTTGATTATCAGTCCCCATAGGTAGGTCGCCGGATGCCATCGTGTCGACAGACAGCTGTGATGTTGCCCAGCTGTGTCCTGCCGTTGGCTTGTGTGTCCATCGGCCTGGCACCGAACTACATTGGTTGCTTAGAGATGGAGAGGGCGGTGGGAGCTGGGCGCCGGGGTGTAGTACGGCGTTTCTTCTTTGCTGGTATGGGAAGTTTTGTGGGGACTCCTTCCTAGGCGTGAAGCCAACGTATTGGTCATTTGTGAGATTTCCTGGCACGTGTGCTGGTGATGATTTGGGAGCAAACCTCCCATGAGTGGCCGAGGTTCGTTGCAGGTGTGATGATCCTTTCTTTGTCGAGCTCTCATCGTAGAAATTCTCAGGCATAGGATCGCTGTGTTCATCTGAAAATGAAATTTTGGATGCGAAAACTTCCTGTTTTGAGTGGCTTTAAGTTCGAATTCAGAACCTTCTCGCATATTCATGTTCATTTAAACTTTAATTTTCCATTCAACCTACATTCGTTCATCACTTGCACCGTGTGAGCGTCCACAAATCAAACTGACCTACAGTTATAATTGTCACCAAGCTGACATCAAAGCAAGATTTGACCGACTTTTATCAAAACGGCTGCAGTAAACAATCGGCCGCAACGTATAGCAAATCACGTGACAGCCATAGATGGTTGAGGTCGTATTTTATCTCGCATCCACTCACGAACGGAAACACACTTGAACAGACTATCACATCTAGACCCAGTCATCCAGCCAGTAAACTCCCAGAAATGCTCTGTGCGACCGTTTCATCCTTTCAGAAATCGTCAGCAATGCGCATTTCATCTAAACGTTGTAGGGCTGGAACCCGCAACTCGACTGTTACCAGTTCGTGGTTAAGACCACTGAGCTACGGGGTATGGTGACGACCGACACGACTGTTACTAGATGTGATATAGCGCAGCTAACCATCCACTAGCTTTCGCGTTATCGTGCAAGGTAGTCCCCTCATTAGGCTGGTGGATAGTGAGCGGCGCCATTTTACATCTAGTAACTTATTCACGCTGGTGGTTGCCGCTCCCGTAGCTCAGTGGTCTCAACCACGGACTGGCGACACTCGAATTGCGGGTTCGAGCTCTACCAGGGTACTATACAATGTGCATTGCTGACGATTCCCCAAAAGATGAAGTGCGCGTACAGTGCTTTTCTGGGCATGTGATCGCCGTCTAACTGGGTTTAGATGTGAAGAACTACCTATTTTCTGAGCCATTGGAGATATATATATGCGCACCTGGACACGGGTCGGCTAGCTGAATAACATGTCACACTGCCGGATCCGCGTTCTGTGTCATTCACTGTCGTAAGTAACCCCGCATTAAACTCATTGCCATCAAACCTAAACACGCGATAAGTTCCTCAGTTTTGTTCTACTACTATAACACTGGTCAACAATGAAATTGCTACTGAGTTAAAAATGCCCTGATAAGTAGCAATTTGGTGTGCCGAAGACAAATATGACCATGAAAAAAGTTTCGTGGCACTCGTTTTGAAGATTTTCCATGTAATTCATTTTCAATGTTTTACCGTATAGATTTATTCAGTATGGCTGCAGCAGCATCCCAAATAAGTCTAGAATAATGCAATATTGCATCACATTGCATGAAGCACGCAGTGGTCCAGGCTTTCACCACGATGCATTAGCAACCCCACACAGATTAACAATACAGGAAGAGCAAAATGAGCTTGTTCGTGATTGGGACTTATCTAAGAACAAACGATGAGAAACGTTAAACCTAAGGATTACGTTACCAGTTCCCTATGCTCGGATCCCACTGCCAACTACATATTGTATTACGACTTGTCTCACATGATATCTCCACGGACCACCGTTGCACGTGTGTAGGAGTATGGTTCACACCCTAGCCAAATACGGGACTTGTTAAGCACTTACCTTATTGCCTGTGCAAAATCATTAGAGCTGTATATTCACCCCTCATGGATGCATAAAGCGCACTCTTGATTATTCATTATAGGTGTCCACAGTAGCTTGAAAAGCAAACAGGCCACCCGTGGAACATGAACTGAAACTCTTATACCATTAACCGAACTAAAGACACAGTGTGTAACTTGATACGCAAACAAATCGCAATCCCATGAAGTCAGGAAGCTTTGTGGGCTGCGGTCAACGCATTAGTGTAGCACAATGGCTTACACGCGATTTAGCCGTTTGATTATAGGCAACCGTGACATCCCGACTCAATGCGGCACTGGTTTTGGGCCTGTTGGCCCGCGCGCGCAATGTGTCCATCAAGCGCGATTACCTACGCGGACAAGCGCCTAGTAAATTTAGTGCACGGACCCTGACTACAGGTCGTGATGGGATGCGAACAAATAGCAGCCCAAATGTTATTGAAAAAGCTCGTTTTCAATGGTTCCTCATTAGGCTAATACACCACAAATGAATGACATGAACGTAAACATCAGTCAAGAGTACAGGTTTAAAACCCAGATGGTCTGAGTGACCAAGCTAGGCGATTGGCCCCACGGTGATCAACTGTTTGTTTGTTTGTGTGTGTGTGTGTGTGGCATTGTCCACACTATGTGTCCGTGTTACAGGGAACCAGGGTCGAGTTAGTTCCTAGACAAATTTCTTGTGTGCACATAGGTCAGGGTCATGAAGCCTGACGGCTATCGCCTCGGCCGCTGCCAGTAGACGACATCTAACCGCTCTTGTGTGGCATCTGGGTACGCGGTAGATAGGCTGGAACGCCTCATGTGCTCTGACTTGATGGCTCGAGTCAATCAAGTGTGTAGACACTGCACTTGCCACTGATTTAGTCACGCCGCTATACAGCCAAGCTGGACAGTGTTCTCTGGCTCTCTTGGACAGTCTCCTGGTAGTTCTTCCGATATATCTTGATCGACATGAGCAGGAGGAAGTACGCACAGAATGAAGTACTTGACATTGGAATTCTGTACTTTTGTTGATTCAGCGTCGGCACTGAGTAGAAGCTCAGCCGTAGGCTTGCTGTATAGTACATTTGTGCGATTGCGGCAGAAAACCTTCTATACGTTGATGCAACTATCCCGTCCCTCTTGAACGGTAACGATAACTAGATCGGTTTCTTTCCTACTGAATCCACTTTTGCCTTCGCTTCTCGTACCTCCATGTTTCTCAGAACGAACCTCTCAGGATAGCCATTTCTATCAAATAGGTTTCGTACAAAGTTTAGCTCGTCTGAAAGCATGTCCTCGCTACATATCCTTTTTGCTCGCTCGGTTAGGCACCGAACAAGTTTCCGTTTTTGGCTGAGCGGGACGAAGCTGGCAAAGTGAGTATATTGCCCATTCCACGTTGTCTTTCTATGGACACTGCGCTGGACCGACCCGCCAGATCTTCGGCTAATCTGAACGTCTAAGTACGGCATTGAGTTGTTGCACTCAGATTCAAGGGTGAATTTTATGTTTGCGTGGGCTGAGTTAAATTGCCTCACTAATTCATCCGTGCATAAATGACTATCTGAGATGCAGAATACATCGTCCACATACCGTCCGTAGTAGACTAATTTGTCGATAACTCCGTTTAGATAGTTGTTCTCTAACTTACTCATAAATACGTCTGCTATCAATGGTCCTAACGGAGAGCCCATTGCGACTCCGTCCTTCTGTCTGTAGATCTTTCCGTCGAACAGGAATTGAACGTTCCTGGTACACATCAGAAGCAACTGTTCAAGTCGTTTGTTCGAGAGGCCGACATCCACATGGTGCAGTCGAACATCATCGCATAGGTAGTCTATCGCCTCCTCCAGCGGAACATTGATGAAGAGAGACACTACATCTAGAGAGAATATTTCCCTTCGGTTAACTGAATATGGCTTATGGAGTCTACGAAGGTGAATGTATCTCTGAGGCTGTGTTTGGCTAGGACTTTTTTGATCGGTTCTAGAAACTTAGTGAGCCATTTCGCTGTTGAGTGGTATGGAGAATCACACATGTCTAATATTGGCCTTAATGGAAGTCCTTCTTTACGCACTTTCGGTAAGCCATTAAGACGTGGAATCACCGTCCCGGAGGGACGCGTGTACTCGAAAACCACTGAGTCAGTTGCATTCTCTTGCTTCAGGCAGCGTCGTAACTTTGTGACTGTCTTTTCTATCGAGGCCGTTTTGTCTTTCTCTTTCTCCATCATCCGGAATTTTGAATGATCGTTGAGGATGGCACTCATCTTAGCGACATAGTCAGATTTATCCATAAGGACAATCCCTGCTCCATTATCTGGCCTAGAGAGCAGCACATTTTCGTTCCGTTTAAGCGCTTTGAGGGCATCTAAATGCGCGTTCGTCAGTAAATACCTGACTTTAGGTTTGTGCTTCAGGTACTGGTAGCATGTATTGACCATGGTGACTTAAAATGCTCAGCAGCTAATGCTGACGAGGGTGCAGTGCAGTATTAGTAGGATTAGTGCTATTCCGTCTGAGTATTTTCCAAAAATGTTTCGAATATTCACTACACTGAAAACGAGCTTGTTCGCTAACGTTTGTTCTGATGTCTACTCCCGGGATATTTTATCAGCTAAATAACACCCCATTCCGCCGACACACTCTGTCAAAGGGGTGAAGTTGAGCATGTTCCAACCACTTGTCTTACATCGTTTGCGTCTTGGACACAACGATAACTGTTTCGTGGCAGTCCTTTATCACTCCCCATCGTTCACTTTAGAGATGGATTCCCACCTAATACCATCATTGACGAAATGCTTACTCCCAACTTACAGCCACCCATTATCTCCGGCGATTTCAACGTGCCCCACTTGGAAAGCTCGCCATCACCCAGCGAAACATACAAGGCCGAACTGCAAGACCTTATCGCAAGTAATCCGCTTTACAATCACATCACTTTAACTACCAAGTACAGAGCTGATAACAACCCATCGGTACTTGATCTCTTCTTTACAAATGCGGAACTCATGACCGACATCTTACTAGGGTTAAGCGATCATGTCTGCATACTTTATAACTATGTGTGTTATGTTGAATATCCGGAGGAACACACAGAACTAATACGTACTATCATAAATTACAACATCCAGAACAACCTAGTTGAGACGACCGATTGGGAATTCCTGAAAAGTGGATCTCCCGACAATGTCTAGGTTCAGTTTTTGGGTGCTTCAGAAGTCTAATCGCAAATGCTTCAGAAACGAAGAGGATTTATAACACCAGTCCCTCGTCTTTTATCAGAAGTAGAACCCGCAAGCGCATACCAATAGGGAATGCAGCTTGGCACACTTACAGAACTCGTCTCAGTCCCGAAACCTGAAGCGATTGCGGGAGCAAGTGCAACCATTTTAGCGTGATTGTCCAGGAGGACAAATTGACTCACCAACAATATTTGGACTGTAAATTTGCCAACA